ATGTCCCCGGGGTGTCGGCGGTACCGTCTCTGCTTCCACTTCTGGTTTCATGTGAGTTGCCTCTGTTCTGTGTGCGTCTATGAAGCCCATCAGGTCTGGAGGGCAGCTCGAGCCAGCAGGTCCCCAGTCATTTTCTGTATGGGTGACAGGTCCCTGGGGAAGGCGAAGGACTGCAGACCCTGCGGTTACCGGGTCGCCATGTACTTCTGCTTCCAGGTGTGGTAAGACTCGCCCACGCCCTGGGGTGCCCCGACGCGGGGCACGCACGGACGCACGACGGTCCCAGCCCCGTGACCGGGCGAAGTTTCTCACCAGAGAATGATTCTCTGTCCCGCTGCGTCTGTTCCGACTTCGGGTAAGTGCGGCGGCTCCTGCTCTCGCGCTCACCGTCCTGCGGACGGACTTCCCACCCGTCGCTTTCAGCCCGCCTCGGCCCGAAGTGGCCTCCTGTGGGCAGCGGACAGCCGGGCCCGTCTCCGACCTGCAGGGCACTCAGCACCCCATCTCTTCGGGGGAGAAGTCGGTCGTTCCTCCGCAACGTCGCCGTGAGCAGGGAACGACTCACCACCGTCGTCTTCCTTTCCGGCCGTTCCATCGTCTCCTTTTGTGACGCGCGAGTCCCCGCTGCGGCATGCTCCCCCCCACCCCAACCCCCACTTTTCTCTCTCACGTGCGTGCACTGCGGGCAGCCGAAGCTTCCAGAAAATACCCTGGCGGCGAGCGTCCGCCACGGGCTCAACCTCCTGCAGCCACACAAAACTCTACCTTGTCACTACTCCCCACTACACAGCATGTTTCTCACGTCACAATTTACAATTTTAATGTTTCATGCCCATGACCCAGTCACTGCGGTGCGTTGTCCTGGTGACTCTGTCTTCCAGACCGCACGGGCCGGGCTCCCGCCGGTGCGCTTCTGCCGGCGCACGGCTTCCTCTGGCTAATCCCCATCCTGTCCTTTCCCGTGAAGAACTCGCTCCGCTCCCGTCTCTCTCCCTCCTCCGCTGCTGAAGGACAGCGTCGCTGGACAACACACTCCCGCCCAGCAGCTTCTGCCTTCCGCGCTCTGGATGTGTCACCCGGTCCCTTCCTGGCCTGCGAGGTCTCTACCGACAAACCCTCCGACGGCCTCATGGCGACTCCCTTGTACGAATCAGTGTGTTTCTCCTGCTGCTTTCAAAACTCCTTTATAATAATAATACTTCGTACAACAGACCGTCTGGCACTTTTATTGTAAGATCCTTCGGTGCAGTCTTCGCTGGGTTCAATCTCTACGGGGCCTGTGAGCCTCGTGTCCTTGGACGACCACCTCTTCTCCAGACTCGGGGAATTTTCAACCGTTATTTTTTTAAACCTGTTTTCTTGCCCCTTCCTTGCCCCTTCCTCTCCCCTTGCCTTCTGGGACTCCCGGGACGCGCACACTGTTTTGCTTGCTAGGCTCCCATAATTCACATCGGCTTCCTGTACTGTTTCATTTCTTCTGGAAAAATTTCAAGTGACCTTTCAGTTTACAAATTCTCTTTTCTGCTCGATCAAGCCTCTGACCGAAGCTCCCCACTACGCCTCTCGCTTCATTCACTGTATTTGTTCTTTAGCTCCAGGATTTCTACTCGATCGGGTTTTGTAAGTAATTTTCATCACCACTGAACTTCTCATTTTGTTCCCTTGTTTTTCCTGATTTCCTTGTGTCTCTGTGTTCTCTTGTAGCTGAGCTTCCTGGAAACAATCACTTTGAATTCTTTGGCAATTTACAAACCTCCGTTTCTTCGGAGCACCTTACTGGAAAATTGTTGTGTCCCTTTGGTGGTGTCGTGTTTCCTTGTTGTGTGCGTCTGTGTTGTAGCCTTGTGTTGATGTCTGTGCATCTGATGAAGTCGTCTCTTTTCCAGGCGGTACAGTCCAGTTCTGGCGGGGAGAGACCCTCCCCTGTGGGGCCGGGTGAGAATGCCAGCCGGGGAGACGTGGCCGGCCGCTCTGGTGCGGGGAAGGCTCAGCGTCATCGTCCCCATGCGGCTCCGCCAGCCGAGGTCAGCCTCAGCAGACACGGTAGGATTCCTCACCAGTCAAGGCTGCTGGTCTCTAGTTTCAAGGTCTATTGGGGTCCTTGGTGGCAAAGGCTGCTGGGGACCTCCCGATCCCTTTCTCTCCCACAGGGGAGGTCGCAGCCATGGGGATCTCTTTGGGCACTAGGGCTGGGTTGCAAGCACTCTAGCAGCGCTGGCCCTGACCCCTGGCCCACGGGCGCCTGTGGAGCAGCCGTAGAGCTGGAGACCATGTCGGGAGGCTTGCAGAGCAACGGCGGTTCTGGGATCCCGGGCACTGGCTGCTGACATAAGCAACACTGTGGTTATGTGGGTGTGTGTGGCGGCCGGGCAGCCAGGACCTAGATCGAACTGCTTTAAATTCTACTCCAGGAACGATTCTCAGCCCTGTGTTCCCGGTCAGACTGTTCCCGGTCTCCTGGTTGGTGGCTCCCTCGCCGGCGTGCGCGGGTCCCGTACGCACAGGCCCGGGTCGGATCCCAGCTGAAGACTCGAAGGGGGCCCCTGGGGCTGTCCAGAGCTCCCCTCTTGTGCGGCTCGCTGCTCCCTGGCGCTCTGTCCTGTGAATCGGGGCGGCTCTGTCCTCCGGGCGACCCACTGCTCCGCGTAGCAGCTACCGCCTCGGGCCTCACCCGCGCTCCGCTCCGGAGCCCAGCTGCAGCGTCCACAGGCGTGAGCTGATGGTCAGGCCCGGTGGCATTTGTTCCCACCTCTGGAGTTTCGCCTTCCTTCACTCTCCACTGTTCAGTCCCTTGAAGACTTTTGTCTCACATTTTGCTTGGTTTACTTAATTGTTTCAGACTTGAGGACCTTTCACTCCAACTTGGCCAGAAAAAAAGTTCATTTCTTTCACGATGTCACTTTCATATTCTTTCCCGTTTTTAAGGAAAGGTTCCCGTTCTTCTGAACTATCATAAAATGACACGGTTGTCTTTGTTTACCGCCGCTCGGGAGGATGGTGAACTATCAGACCCTGCCGCTCAGTCGTCTCCGTCTCCACGACGCCTCTGCCCTCTTGCTCGGTGTTGACCCGCGCTGACCCCCTGGGAGTGACCTGGCACGTGGACTTCCCAACCATGCGACCCGTCCCTGCAGGGAGACCCCATGAAGAAAAAGCTGACAAACCCTGAAAACGTGAACAGGCCCACTTCAGAGAGACCGTAATGACCTTCACATCCGCTCACCTGGTCAACAAACTTTGCCGAGCACCTCCTGAGTGCCGGACATTATGCTGGGAAGGGGGTCACCGCAGCAAAAGGTCAGACGGGTCCCTGTCCTCCAAGAGTCCAAGGGTCCCTGTCCTCACAGGGAAAATGGACGATCACCAAGTGACACACAAACGTCACCGTCACGCATACAGGTCAAGGTGTAATAATGTGACTAACAACTTACCAGGAAAACAGCACGATTCCAAACCGAGATGAACCGGTACCCATGTGAGAGGACAAACGTACGACATAAACGGAGATACTCCTATTTGTAGGAAGAGACTTAACTAACACGTTTCTCAGCACACAGATGAGAATGAGCCTGGTCGTAAAAATCTGAACCAAATAACGCCGAGGCTGTTTAATGGATACACACAGAATCCTCCACTTAAAAAATGAAGACATCCTCTCCAAGTCCGCCAGAGTATCCACAAACTCCAGGAACAAGAAATACGGAGTACGTTGCAAAGGGCCAGTGAGGAGAGGGGGCTGTGGTCCCAGCGGCACGGTTCATGGGGCTGTCGGCACGGGAGCTCCGCGTTTAAGAAAGAAGCCTAGGCGTTTCCACGGATACCACAGGCCACGCAGCAGCACTGCCCTGGGGAACGGCCCTCTCGTGGGAGGTCGCTGTCTGCGGCTGGCCTGAGCGGGGGGAGACCCCAGTGCTAAGGTTGGGCCACTGTGTGTGGAAACAGAAGATGGGAATGGCTCCGTAAAGAACTCTGAAGTCCTTCCAAAATGCAACTCCACTGGTTCCGGCCCCTGCGCTCTCTGGCCGCGCTACTGTCCAGCCTCAGCGGCACACAGCCCTGCCACGCGTCCCACCCTCCCAGCCGGCGGTACCATCCAAGTACCACCGACCGTCCAGGTCCGGGTGACGTTTTCCTTCCGTTTTCAGAACAATTTCCAGACCAACAGAACCACAAACGTGACTGCTCTCCCAGCTGAACTGTCTCATGACCCACGCCGCAGAGGGGCACTGCACTGCGGCTGTATTTGGAGGCAAACATCGGAGAAGCAGCCGAGATCTGAGACTCACGGGGACTCTGGGACCAATCACGGCAGGTGCTCGGGGGAAAGTGCAGGAAGTGACGGAGCTAGAAGGGCCCCAGCGTCCGGGCGACCCCTCCCTCCCCTCTCACACTCTCACGGGCAGCGGCGCCCACCACGGCACCTGCTGGCGTCGGGGAGCCGCGTTCCATGGGGCGGGCAGCCAAGGAGCCTCTGCTCCGCCAAGAGCCCTCGCAGCCCCACGGTCAAGGCACAGGCCGGGGCGCGCACCCTTGGGAAGCTCGGGCGGGAGGTAAATCTTTCGTTGGAGGAAATATTTTAATACGTATTTTTAAATCTTGAAAGTGCAATTCCCGAGTACTTTTGTGTCCGTGGATTTACTATAGATAAAAAACGTTTAAGTGCGGGTAAAAGCACGAGGTACAAAATGCTAATTTCAGCCCTTTCTGTGAAAGCAGAGGAACGGGACTCAAGTGTCTGGTCCTGGGGCTGGCAACAGGGTGTGGGTCGGGAACATTATGAGACACCGGGCAGCCGCTCAGGTGAGTCTGGGGCGGCCGGCAGCAACCTGGGCCGCGGCCTCAAGGGCGGCGAGACTGGGGGCACGAGCCGCACCCTCTTGCCAAGGGGCCACACCCCTGCACAACCGGTGCCTCTTCGCCACCACACCCCCTGCTGAGGGCTTCAGACCCGCTCTCCCGCCCCGGCCCTCCCCGAGCACGCACAGCCGCCCGCCGCTTACTCTGCTGTCCACACTCTGCAGGTCGGAGAGGCAGGCGGAGGCGATCTCCTCGCACTTCAAGGCCAGAGAAAGCCGGGCCAGTTCGAAGAGCAGAAGAATTCTGGGAGTGAAGAAACAGACAGACCCCGCGTCGGTCGGGGCATCCGGGGGGCACGGCCGCGTGCTCCTCTACCCGACAGGGGAAGCAGCGGTCGCTGGTTAACCCCACGCGGGAGATAAACACCAAACAAACCTTCTACGGCCACGGTCCCCAGGCCCGGCCCCCCCAGGCCCTGAAGCCACACTTGGCGGAAATGAAGAGCTCGGTCTGCTCAGGGAACTGCTCCTCCTCCTGTGCCCTCGGACGGGTACAAGCACAGGGAAGGGGACGGGGACAAGCAGCCCCGCACGGCCGTCAGCACCCCGCTGTCACTGTGTGACTCGGCAGAGCTGTGGGAGCAACACAGGGAACAGACATGAACTTCCTGACTCAAAGCCTCTTCCTCTGGCCACGGGACACGCATCCGGAGGCACCGCTGGTCCCGGTCCCTGCACAAACTGGCAGGCTGGTGCTAACGTCATCTGGGAGTGCAAAGGACCCGTGACGGCCGGGGCGACTTGGGGAACGAGCTGGAGACCAGACGGCGTGATCGGAGACTAGTGCAAGACAGCAGGAGTGCAGGCCTGGAGCAGGACGGGCCCGGGTCCCCCCCTTGACCTGACACCCCGGCCCAGGTAGTTCTTCATTGGGCTCGGGAGACCCTGCACACCCAGGACCCTCAGCGGCAGCCACCAGATGCCAGTAGCAGCCCCCCGCCGCGGCCCCCAGTGGCCTCCAGACGTGCCAAACATCTCCTGGGACAAGCCTGAGCCCCTTCTGCCCTTTGCAAGCGAACCATCGCAGTCTTCGCACGATCCCCAAGCAGATCGTCTGCTGTAATAACCGAACCCAGTGTCGCCACCCTCCCCCTTGCGTTCCCACTGTCCCAGCCCACCGCCTCCTCCACCTGCTCAGCCCCTGGAGCCCCAAGGGCCCCGGCAGGCCTCGCCTCCTGACATCCGGCCCCTCCATGCTCCCGGACCTCTGGCCGCCTGGACCCACTGCACAGGTTAAGAGGGAGAACCCAAAAAGGTACAAATCACGGAGTTTCAGTCCTTTTTTTTTTTTTTAGTTTTAAACAGAACATTTTTCCCGCCCAGAATTCTGGGCACAGAAGCCCGGGTGGAAGGCGGTCAGCAGAGCCCCTCCCTCAGAGTCGGAGCTGCAGGCCATTAGACAAGGAATGACCCCCAGCGAACACACAGAAGGCAGCTGCGGCCCATGGGACAGGAGCCCAGGCCGCACGGGACGGGCCCCCTCCTCCAGCCCGAGCAGCACCTCTGGCGAAGGCCGACGGTGCGGGAAGCCGAGGAAACTCAGCTGTCGGTGTCAGGAGCCGCGGCACAGCCCCTGGGGCCACACGCAGGAAAAGCAGAAGTTCCTGGGAAGGGAAAGCCAGAGCGACACTGCAGGGGCAAGGACCATCTTCAAACCTGGAGGGTGGGAGGGCCTTGCTGGGCACAGAGGGAGAGGTGGGGACACAAGGCCAAGGCTGGCTCACGCTGCGGGGAAGCACACAGCCCTGGGCTTCTGGGGGACCCAGGTCAGCCTACACTCATGGGGCTGTTGGGGAAGGACTGAGCAACAGGCCCCGGACTGGAGGGATAAACGTGAGCTCGAGTTAGTCTTAGATTAAATAAAACATTTCTGTACATCAAAAATTAATGTTAAAAACCTACAAGGTACACAAACTGGGACAAGGGATAAACATACGGGAGCTGGAGGGCCCAAATTTTAAAACCGAAAAAGCTTCTGCGAGTCAGTAATGAAATGGTTTATACCCTTATTAAAAAACTGAGCAAAATAAGTGTATAGGAAACTAATAAAGGGGGAAAATGCCAGGAAACACAGGACAAAACAGTAGCAGTCAGAGGGAGGGGTGGGAGCAGTGGCACGCCCCCTCCTCCCACTTGCCCTGAGGTGGCCAGAGAGGTCCGAGGCCAGGGTCTTCACAGGCGGGCTCCACGTGGCTTGTGCAGCATGTCTCAAGCACCCCAGACTCCCATTTCTAGAAACTTCCTGGAGCTGCCCGCATCAGTAGCGAGACCACAGGGGAGGGCCCAGCCGTAACACGGCAGGCCGGAGGGGACGCGGCAATCGTGCAGACACGTGCCAGGTCTCTCTAACCCGAAGTGCTCTGGCCGATCCCCCAGAGGGCCGGAAAACCCACGTTACGAACTTCACTGCAGACAGTCTGTGATGTAGGAACAGGCTCACAATTTCTATGGGAAAAGTAGTTAAAAACCTGTGAGATGTTAATGCGGGAAGTACACATTGATCCATTTCCGAACTCCCTGTAACTACTGCATGTTCAATTTGAAATAAGAGAAAAATGATGGAATCCACCCATTTAAAGATTTATTTATTTTAGAGGGCGTGAGCACGGGGTGGGGCACAGGGAGAGAAAATCACGAATGGAGTTTGCACTGAGCAGGAAGCCCGACGAGGGGCTCGATCTCACAACCCTGACATTGTGACCTGAGCCGAAACCAAGAGTCAGACGTTTAACCAACTGTGTCCCCAGGCACCGCAATGATAAAAATAATTTTAAAAATATGTATAGACACCACCCCTGGCCCATTAAATCTGTATAAATCCAAGAGCCGCAGAGGAGCTCCTCCAGAAGCGACAACACGGACAGGAGACATCTGGGGCCCCTTCATCCAATCTACCACGGCGGCCTCCAGAGGCCCGGGGCCCCTGCTCCCTGGTGCTCACAGCCTGTGTGACCCCGTCCCTCTAGGAGAGCGCAGCCTGGCGCCTGACCACGTCCCACACAATTCCAACTCCCCGTGCGCGGGTCAGCGGTCCCCAGCTGGCTCCGACAGAGCAGCCCCTGCGCCCTGCCAACCCCCGGATGGCCGCGGCTCCTGGATGCCCGTCCGCAGGCAGCTTTAGACAATGAGCGCGTGTCCTGCGCTGCTGGCTCTGGGGTAACTTGTGACGTGGCGACTGGTTAGCACACCCCCAGACGAGTTTCCGGAGGCGGCAGGGATGGGCTACCAGCCACTAATGGGCTTGAGCGACAGGATTTCATTCGTACAGTTTTGGCGGCCAGGAGCCTAAGGCCCGGGCAAGACTTCTGCCGGTCAGCTGTCAGCTTCTGCCAGTCGCCAGCAGCCTTGTGCTCATCGGCTTGTGGCTACAACGCTCCGACCTCTGCCTCCAGCGTCACCCGGCCTTCTGCCCCGTGAGCATCTGCGTCCCAGACCTCCCTCTCCTTAGGAGGACGCAAGCCACCCGTGAGGGTCCATCCCAACCCAGCGTGACCCCACCCGAGCCTGACGACCTCTGTAAAACCTGTTTCCAAATAAAATCACGTTCACCAGAAGCAAGGGCTGGGGCTTGAATAGGTCTTTTGGGGACACAATTCCACCCATAACACCCCAAAATTAACGAATGAGTGACAGAGTGAAACAAGACACTAGTAGTGATTACAGACCACGGCCGCAACGGTTCCTGTGTTGGGAGCGTGGGGAAGGGGAGACAATCACTGGGAACTCAAAGGGCCGTCGTTCAGAGGCCCGCCCCCACGGCGGAGCAGTACGCCGCCGCGTGGTAATCGGGGCACACAGACGGGACCAGAGCAGGGAGGTCATTTCAGCCACCGCCCCAGCAGGGTAGGGCTGGTGCTCTTTGCTCCGAGTCAGCACTCGTGAGCACGTGACAGGACAGCGGCCCGACCGGGAAGCCCGCCCCGTCATCCCTGCGGGGACGGCGCACGCTCCCGCTCCTGCCCACAGCCGCTGGCGCAGCTCTCCGCTCCCGGGAACCCAGTCCGGGATGTCTGCAAACGCCAGCGGCGCCAGGGGACGGAGGAAGGCGCAGGACGGAAAAGCGAAGTCCGCGGGCCGAGGAGTCTAGCCGCAGACACGTTTCGCTGCTGCTCAGAAAGCTGTGATGTTTCAGTACCTTGACACGTACCTGTGCTGGGAAGCTGGATTTGATTTTAAAAGTATGACATGAAGTTACGTATCCCGAATGCTCCCAGACAGCACGAACGTCAAGGCCAAAGCAAAGAGCAGACACTCGGCCGGGGCTGACCCTTGCTACGGTACAATGACCACGTAGACGTGGCGGCGGAAAAACCGAACACTTACTCCTCCTCTCGGACCGCAGGGGAGCACTGGTGATTGTAAGAACTTAAATGTCCGTAGGCCTTCTTCAGAATTGCATCCACATCTTCAGGTAACTCATTCTTATCCAATTTCCTAGAATTTATTCAAACGTTAAATAAAACCAAAATATCATGTCAGATTTGTTCCAATTATCCTAAGAGAGACAGAAAGTCTAGGAACCTGTGTTTCCCGCTGAACAGAGGCCTTAAAAAGCCCTCCTCCCTCATTCCTTCACTTCCAAGATGACTTCTCATGCCTCCTTACGGCCCTCGCTCCCTGCACAGGCCCTCGCTCCCTGCACAGGTCCTCGCTCCCCGCACAGGCCCTCGCTCCCCGCACAGGCCTCCGCCAGAACCAGACCCACAGGAGGGCAAACCTGCAGGCTGGCTGGGCCCTTCGTGCCTCCCCTGCTCAGACACACAAGGGTCTCCGCACGGCCCTCGCCTCACACGCTCTGGATCTCCCCACGGCTCTTCCTTTGCACACAGCGGCTCTCCTCCAGCTTCATCCCCTCTGGCCGCACTCGCAGGTGTCTGCCCGCACCTGGGTCCGTTCTTCCTCCACTTCGAACCACTACCGTCAGGGTGCTATCCAAGTCAACCCCTCCTGTTTTGCTCATTGTCAAGGTCAAGTGTGAAGGCTCATCGGGAAGGGCCCATCAGACAGAGCTTGCCCCGCCAGTGCCTCTCCTCTGCAACCACTTTCCTCGCTGGCTTAGAAGCTACACTCACCCACTGGCCGCCTCTCTGGCCACTTCTAAGTAAAGGGAGGCAGAGTCCCATCCTCTGGGCCCAGGCCTCTCCCTACTGTTCCACCGTCACCCACCGCCCGACACAGCCATATCCCCTCTAGGTGCCACCCAGGCCCTGAGTCAGCACCTAAAACTCCTAAGCCACTTACGCTTTCAGCATATTGATGTGGTAAGTGACGGCCAGGCTGGTGGAGGTTTTCTTCTCTTCCGCTAACTGAAGCTCGTCCGCCAGTCCATGTCGCACCTGTCACGAAATGGACGAGAGTTATCCATTGATATAAACAAATAATTAGGTAGAAATCCAGATATTAGTTACTATTTTACAATTATTTCTCTTTTAAAATAATACTTATAACAAACAAGTACCTCTTCGTTAATTTTATTTTACATTTAGTTTTCATGGAGAACCTAAGTTGGTTTCCCGTACACCAAGTTAGCAGAGGATGACGGTCCCCGTACACGTTCTGGGGTTTATGATTCCTTAATCTTAACAAATCTTCTGCTAGCCTGTTCTCAATCTAATGCTGTTACGAGTGAAATATTCAAAGATCACAATAAAGGCAAAGATTTTGTTTTTTTGTCAATGGATGCACGACGCACGTGTGCTTTTCTCTCGGTGGACGGACCCAGCCGTTGTTACACACATTCCCCAAAGATGACGTTTAAGAACGTCACTTCTGCCCGCACCTCCCACATGCCAACTCACCATGACGGAATAGATGTGTCGGTGTTTGTGCGGCACGTTAGCCTTTATGAACGGTGCCGCGGTGGCACAAAGCTTCGCGGCCTCTTCCTTTTTTCCGGCTTGGAGATAACAGTCCAGGAGCTCCCTGGGGAATACAAACCAACTAGATATTAAAACCGGATAAAATCGTTTCCCACCGCAGATGTCTAGTAACCAGGTGATTATGCGTTTGTTACGTCGCGCAAACTTCAGAAAGACACGCGGCTCAGCCGGCTCCTCACCGCGCCAGCGTCCGCGAGCTGCGCTACCCTTGTCAGCAGGGACAGGAAATGTCTGCACCATAACTACCTCGAACGTTTAAAATAGCATTTTTCAGAAAGATTGTATTTATACTTATTTTCTGCTAAAAGCTCCCTACACAGCCATAAAGCAGGTAAAGGAAAGCCTATAGATTCTGGATTCCAAGTTCAGGGCACGTCCTCTGGGTCCCCCTTGCAGACGCTCCCCCAGTCTCTGGCCTGCATGTCGTGCTCCCCAAAGATAGGAAAAGTCTGGCTGCTCGCCCCCTGGTCCCCTCAGCGCAAGGATCACACGCTGACATGACTCACCGTGGCTTCTCGGGGCTGTCTCTCCGGTGAGGCACTAGGCACACACCTCCCTAAACAGGGCCATCCTGGCCGAGTTTTACGTTGCTAAAATGTCTACCCCATTAACAATTCATTGAACCAAGTTAAAACCACAAGCCAGGATTATGACCCAAGCTCACATTTCCTGTGTTCTGAGTCCAAGCACTCGTCTTGTTATAAGCCCCCATGATCAGGACGCTGTGATTTCGTCTGCAGACCTCATCAGACAAGACACACACAAAACGTAATTGTAGCTACAGATTAGAGCAGTGATATCCGCCCTGCGCTGCGACGTGACCCTCCTGCCAGGAGCGAGCCGGAGGGGCAGGAGGTCAGAGGCTGCGTGTGCATTGGTTAGGGACCCATGGCTGGGCGTTCGACTCACAGCATCAGCTCTGCTCGCCACTCCGTGTCCTCCTCCTCAGTCTGGTTTAACACACTGACGATCTGGGAGAGGCTGGAGAGCAGATGGTGGTGATAGCCCGGCTTGAGAAACGGCCTCACCATTTGCCAGTAGAGGACTGATGCGTTATACACCAGGAAGTAGTACCTGCAGGGTGCACAAAGGTCATCTGAGAGCAGATCCCCAGCCCGCCAGGCGCCCATCCCGAGCCAGTTTTGAGTCCCTGAGTCCTCTGTCTCCAGCAGATGGCAAGAGCACGATCTGAGCCACTCTGGGCCAATCACACCCACATGGCCTATGCAGAAGGGCGTGGAGGCTACAGGTCAAGTCCAGCCACGATGACCTGGCCACGTGAGTCCTGAGGCCGGACTAGAGATCCCTTCACCCATTCGATCATTCCAAAAGTGATCAGCTCCCTGTGAAAACGCACCAGCCAGCAAGGTCTCCTTTGGTTCCCAAGAGATAGACAAGAACAGGCAAGTGCAGAGGAAATCAAGGAAGGCTTCCTGGAGGAAGGAACATCCTGCTGAAACCAGACAGCAGCGCAGGGAAAGGGTCTGGCAGGTTAAAAAGAAGAAGAAGAAGAAGAAGAAGAAGAAGAAGAGCAGAAACTTTGGGGAACAAAGTCCCCATGCCTGAGCATGAAGTGCAAAGTGGGGCAGGAGGAGGGGTGAGGATGGGAGCAGGGACACCCCTCAGATGGTGTGCTTTTTCCTGAAGGCTGGACAGAGCCTGGAGGAATCTGAGTGAGGGTCCCACAGGGGCCAATCGGCCTTTCTTGCTCCCACCCCTCTGAGAGGCCAGCTCTGCCTTGTAAGGCCCCAGGGGCCTGGGGAGGAGACTGTCAGAGCACTGATCGGGAGACCCAGGGAGCGAGTCGGGATTCACACCTGCTCCTCCCGTAAGTGGTGCATCCTACTCAAATAGGTCGAGTTACTACCACTTTGCGTGCAAACGTAATGGTTTCAAGAACATTTCTTTTTGATGAAGGAAACCTTCAGTAGGAAAGTGTGCGGAACTTGCAGCTGAATCGCTGTGCACGTGAGGCCTCAGCCCGTCTGCCAGAGGGGATGTGGGCGAGCGGGGGCCGGGGAGGGAGGGACCCTGATGCTGAACCCACAGAGGCCCAGAGAGTAAGGGGGCCATGGAGACCAGCCAAGGGAGAAGTTCCCACAGACAAAAACCATGTGATCACAGGAACCACAGGACAGACAAAAGGGTGAGGCCAAGGGACTCGTGTGCTTGGCCCAGACCTACATGTTAGCGACAGAGCATTCAGTGAGGGCACCGCAAGGACAACCCCCACAGTCTCAACAGGCAGAAGCATGTGGTAAATCCTGGTCCTGGACCTTTTACCCAATCCCAGTTAGAAACGGCCGATTCTATTATGCCTACCTGGGTTCCCCTTTTGCAAAGTTTATTGCCTTCATATACTGAGTCACACAATTTTCAAATTCCTCCTAAAACAACATAAAAGTGCATCATTATATTGAATTTGCCACTGAAACATCAGTCATTCGTTGTGGCCACGTCCGTGGACATTAAGCCGCCTACGGACTGGCCTGGGAGCCTGCGTGTGAGCAGCCGGAGCCAGGGCACCTCGTGAGTCCGCACGGGCACCCGACCCAGGTCCAGGGCAGCTGTCCTGGGCACGACCAGAGCACGAGCATACAGGTGCCCAAGGTCAGACAGGGACTTTGGGAACAGGCCCGTTTCCCACCACTGACAAGGAATCGCTCGCAGACCTTCCCCTGGAGTTCTTGAGGGTTTGCCTGACCCGACTGCAATATCGGGTGAGACTGTAAGTCTTTTGACACAAGACGTAACATTTTGAGGAGAATCAAGGCAGCCTCAGGGAAAACCCGGAGCGGCACAAGCCCTTAGCATTTGTTTAGGAACGGGGACCTAGCGTGGGGGGTGCAGTGGGGGGCTGGCTGTGCCCCAAAAAGCGTCACCCTCAAATGGAGCCCTGCCCTCTGGGGCGTCTCTCACCAGGTTTTCGGTGGACTTGGGGGCACAGAGCTGGGCCCGGCACAGGTGCGCTCGGCCCAGGAACTGGGTGACGGGCCCCTTCACCTTGAAGTACATCCGGAGGCAGTCATCGCTCACCGCGGGGTGCCCCATCTGCAAGACGCCGCAGTCCTGCCATGAACACCCCAGAAGGGGTGTCTGCAGAGAGCCTGGCAGGCAGCAGCTCTGAAGACAGACCAGAGGACTGCATCGCCCCAGCTCTCTGCGGCTCCGCCTCCTGCTCCCAGAAACAGTGACCCTCCTAGGACACCGCCCCCCCCTCTGCACTCAGTACCTTCAGGGCTTGTTCTGCGCACAAAACAAACAGATCGGGGCTGAAGCTTTCCATGGGGTCAAACTCTGACCTCCCGAGGTTGGCCGACTTAATCAGCTCGTAAGCCCTCTTCAGGGCGGCCTCATCTACCCGGACCGCGGAGGAGAGAGCACACGTGGCATCACAGCGCGCGGGGACCAGTGTGCGAGGGGCCTGCTGTCCGGCCTCTACCCCCCAGCGGTCCCGCGCCCGGCCTCCGCCCCCCAACCCCACCCGCGCGGACCCGGCTCCGCCCCCCGCGGTCCGGCCTCCACCCCCCGCGGCCGCGCCCCTCCCCCCCGCCCAGTCTCCACCAGGCCCGAGCGTCCGCAGCAGGGGGCAGGCATCCCGAGCCCCCGTGGAGGACGACGACGCGGGCCGCGGGGGTCCTGCGGCGGGGGTGGGGGCGCGGGCCGGACCTCCTCCAGTGGGAACCCCCAGGCGGGACCCGGCCGCCCCGGGTCTGCGGTCCGCTGGGACGGGTGTGTCGCCTCCCCGGGGGCAGGGTCCTGGGGGCTTCCGGGTCCCTCGGGCCGGGGACGGGACCCGCGCCCACCCTGCTGGCTCTGGGCGCGGGCCAGCTCCTGCGTGATGACCAGGTCCATGGCGCCGCACCGAGCGCCGACGGCTTTCTCCGGCCGCCGGCGGCGGGTGGTTGCCTAGCGACCGAGGGGACGCGGCCGGCGCTACGGGTCGGCGACGGGGCCACACTAGTCGGAGGCGAACTGCCGCCCGGGCCCCGCCCTGAGCGCTCACTCCCGTGGGTTCCCGCCAGCGACGTGGGGGCGGGCGCGCGGCCCCGCGGCCCGGGGAGCGGAGCCAGGGCAGGGCGCGCTCGCGTCGGGGCTCCACGCTGGCCCGGGCGCCCCGCCTCGCGCCGCTCCCCGCACCCTCCCGGGAAAATGCTGCAGCCGCCCCGCGCCCCCGCCCGAGCAGCCCCCAGGTCGGGGACGCCCCTGGGTCTGGCCCGACTGTTCCTGCCCAGACTCCTGCCCGGGGCCGTTCCGTGCGTCCTCGTGCGTTCTGCAGACCCGGGATCCTGCGCACCGTTGCTCGGCCCGCCTGGGCTGAGGCTGGGCGACCTGGAGACGCCGCGGGCGCAGCGGCCGCGACCGTGGATGCGGTTCTGGGGCGGATCCTGAGAGGGTCGCGCCCGCGCTGGCCGGCTGAGCCCAGCTGCGGCTCCCGAGCCGGGGCGGCCGCTCCGTCTGGGCGTCTGGGAGGCGGAGGACTCGCCTGCGCTGGGCAGGAGGTGGTCTGCGCGCCTCTGCGCGTCCGGCTGTGGACAACCCCCCGGGGGGAGCCGGGCTGGAGACCCCCCAGCCTTGGAGACCCCTCGGCCAGGAGCAGCGGGAAGAGCTGGGTTGGGGGCAGAGAGGTGGAGGGAGAGCCAGGCAGGCCCCCAGGGAGCCAAGGGAGGGGTGTTGGGGGAGGGGCCGCTGCATCAGATGTGGCCGAGAGGTCAGTGAGATGAGCCCTGAAAAGCAGCGGTTGGGATTAACAACGGGGAGGCCTTGAGCGACCAAGAATAGCCATTTTCTGAAGCGGGGGGGGGGGGGGGGGGCAGGGGGGGGGGGGGTAAGGGAGGGCGGTCCGCAGTGGAGACAAAGAGGAGCGCACACCTTTTCGTGAAACTTGGCTTCTGATGGAAAGCGGTGAGGCAGGGACTTGGTCTTCTGGGGAGGGTTGTTTCTAAAGGATAAGATAGTCGTACCCTTTCCTGTAAGGTTTCATAGGCGGGATAAACACGACACCAGGCGAGGTGGGCACAAGGGAAGATTTATTAAAGGCGTCTCCAGCGAAGTTTCAGGGCTCAGGAGACGGGGAGCCAGGAAAGTCGCGCGGGGAGGAGGTGGGCACCCTCAGGCGAGGTTCCGGGACTCTGGAAAGGGGAGTCAGGGAAGTCACACTAGGAGGGAGTTGGTGGGGGTCTTTTATCTGTTTCCTGCATAGGTATCGGGTTACCTATGGAGACGTGATCTGGGCATACATCCTTTTGGCGGGAGAGTCAAGGGTGAAGGAAAGGGGGGGGCTGGAAGACGGCGGCCCCACGGTCATTTCTATTGTTCCTCCTGCACTCCCGGAGCCACCGACCCAACATTTCCAGGTTGATGGTTTTATTGGTTAATGGGACGGCGAGGTAGAGAGTCCTGCGGCATCTCCAGACCCAGCAGCGGCTGAGAAAGTGAAGTCAGCCAGGAAGGGCCCAGCACCAGCACGTGGGTGTTGATGGGACCCGTAATGCCGGCAACAAACAGAAGAGCACAGAGCCCCCCGCATTGAGAAAAGCATCAAAAACAAACCAGTGTGGAACGAATTTAACAAAAGAGGTGACTCTCCTGGCACTACAGCTGCAAAGCCTGGTTGAGAGAAGTGGGGAGAGGGCGACATCGACGGCGGGAAGACTCGGGTTTGCGAGCGGTCCTTCCCGTGGAGGTGCAACCCCAGCCACAAGCCCAGCAGACCTTTTTCAGGAAACCAACAGCTGACCCTAACATATCCATGGGAAGACAAAGGGCCTGGAGTGGCCAAGATGACCGTGAGGGGGACAGCAGCATTGGAGGACTCACACTCCATCATTTCAAGAGTGACAGTAAGGCCGTCACAGTACAGAAGACAGTGTAGACCAGCGGAGCAGAACAGAGTTTAGAACCAGATCCCGTGTCCAGAGTCCGCTGATCTGGCCGACATGATGATGCAGGGAAAAGGACGGTCTTTTCTCACCATGATGCCAGGACATCTTGGAGGTGGGTGGGCAACGGGACACACAGCGCCCCGCTCCTCCACGCAGCCCTCATCAGAGCCAGGTCACAGGCTGTGTGTGTGGGACAGAAAGGAAATAGCGCACCATCTTGGAGCAGACGGAAGCGTCCTAGCTAGGGCACAAAGAGTGAAGCCATCGAGGAAAAGAACAGAGCTGTCCTCATCAAAAATAAAACCCCGGCTCTTCGAAAGACTGTAAAGAAAATGAACAGATTGGGAGAAAATAATCGCGACAAATAAATCTGACGTGCAAACTGCACCCGGGGCATAGTTTTAAAAGCCAATAAATCTGTAAGGAAAGACAACACACCAAAAACTGGGCAGAAGATGCGGACAGGCACTGGACAGTGGAAGAGCTGAGATCACTGAGTGAGCCACATGGAAAGGCACTCGGCACCCTGAGTCATCGGGAAATACAGATCTAACTCGCACGAGGGTCTGCTGTGGACCCACGTGGACTGCTGAAACGGAAGAGACTGACCATGATGAGTATCGGTGACATACACCCACGGGGACCCTCTCCCATGGCCAGTGGGAGTGAAACATGGTACAGTCGCTGAGAAACAGAAGGTTTTTAATAAAGTTAGACAAGCTGCTACCCTAAAGCCCCACAATGTACTTTTAGGGGTTTACCCAAGTCGGATGACGTGTCCGCAGAGAGCTGTGCACCAGGATGTCCACAGCAGCTCGGTTCCTGTTAGCCCTGAAGTGGAAACAGCGCACGTAGCCAGCAGGGAGCCCGGTGTGGTGTGGGCGCACGATGGGCTGCCTCCCTGCGGGCAGGAGGACCGAGCCGGGGCACCGACCAGCAACGTGCAGGCACGTGAACAAGGGAGGGCAGCGGCACCGGGCCTGCAGGAGCCCTCTCTGCGAGTCCGTGTCCACCCGGTTCTGGGCCAGGCAGAGGGAACCAAAGGCCGGGGAGACCAGGGTGCGGCTCAGAGGGAAGAGGGGGCAGGCAGGGCCCTCATCTTTCCTGGAGCACCAGGCACATGGTTGTACTCCCTCCCAAACTCCCTGCAGTTGCCGTTCACAGCGGAGAGCCGGCAGAATACCACGGGTGGTCGTGGAGGCGTCTGGTCCCAGGGCCAGTGGGACCGAGCTGAGACCTGGCTGTGTGGGGAGGAGCACCGGCCTGGGGCACCAGGACGGGGTAGCTGTGAGCCGCTGGCACCTGGAGGAGTCGGGGTGCTGCTGGATGAGCCCGGGAGGGCAGACGGAAGAAGAGAATGTTGAGCGCTGTTCAAGTGTTAGCGTTCCCTGTTGCCTCGCCTCCCAGACCGTGTGGGAGTCCATGCTGCTCCATGTTCTGTTTGTCTCTCTTTACGCCTTCTCCCCCACTTCTTCTGCCCCAGGAATAGGCTCCGATTTTTGGCAAGCAGAAGGCTACCTCACTTCCCACCTCTCTTGTAGCCAGTGTGGTCAAGTGACCAAGTTCTGGTCACTTTAAAGCAATTTTAGGGGAGGATTCTCACAGGGAGAGCAACCCCTTGGTGGGTCCTCCTCTTTCTTGCTGGTGGAAACGTGGCCATGAAGGCTGGAGCTTGAGCAGCTGTTTTGTGCCGTGAGGTGATGACCTCCACACGTGGACGAAGAAGCCTGGGTCTCCCAGCTGTGGGGCAGCTGCTCAGTCCTGGATGGCCTTACATGAAAAAGAAACAGACATTTCTCTTGTTAAAACTAAGCTGCTCCTTTTTCCCTGGGACACTCCCAGCTGATGTCCTCACCAGGGTTTCATTTTGCATTTTCAAGATTAAGATGCAGGCAGACCCCGGGTCGGATATCTGGCCGGTGCCGGGCGTACATTTTCTTAGATAAGATTTAAAATTCAAAGCATGACGAAGAACATACACACGTGTACCCATGCACGTACACGGTAGTGTGTGGCACATGTGTGTGTGTTTGTATATCTGATAAAATAGCTTCTGCCCAGACATGATTCTGAAACCCACAACTCCGTTCCGCTCGGGCTCTGGAGTCGCACACCGCCTGGGGGGTGGAAGGCTCAGGCCCAGTCGGTCGGCTGCTGTGTGCTCCCAGAGCGCCCTCGAACGTGGGTTTACTCAGAGGGACGCGTGGCACCGTGTGCACGGTGGTTACACTTATTCCCCCCAAGGAAGTATCTCCCAACGTTACATGGTAAGAGATTTTCCAAATCCTAGAGCATTAAATGTTAAAACTCACTCTTCTAGTCACACAGTAGCCTTAAACCTGAAGACAGGGACGCGGAGCTCTCTCTTTGCTAGATGGCGTTTCATTAGTGAAGACAGTTCGGGTCCGGCCCAACCTGCTCTTTTCCTTTTTTCGCCTGCGCACTGAGTGTGGAACTCGTGGGGTGCTGTGCGTTTCCCTGGCCGGTGCTCCTCCTCGCCGGTGCTCTGACCCCGGACGCCTCGAGGACAGGCCACGGCGGCCCCGACGCACCCCGCCGAGGGCACGGCATTGCCCATGCAGGGACACAGCACGCTCACAGGAAGGCTTCGGCGTGGGCGGCCCTACCTTGGCCTGTCCTCGGGCCTCCCAGGCTGGCCTCCCAACGGCACCTGCAGCAGAAGGTCCCTGACATGCACCTGCGCGGCCCTCAAATCAGCACCTTGGTCACCCTCTTCCACACGGGGGCCCGCGGCCCGCATCGGCTCGGGCTGCTCTAACGGCGGCTCCCACGGCAGGGGTGTCCGTTCTCAGCCCAGGGCCAGCCGTCCGCGAGCTGGGGGTGCTGGGCTGCTGCCTCCTGGGGCCCGGGGGAAGGGTCTGGTGCCGCTAACCAGTTCCTCAGAATCCTTGCCTCGCGGTGCCGCAGGAAGCGGTTCTCGGGCCGGTTCAGACGTCGGACCCGTCCCTC